ACTAGTACCATAATATCAGATTGGGGGGAGGTTCAAATTAGAGATTGATAGAAAAGCAAGGATATGGGTTCGTGTAAGTAGGAAACAGAAAATATCTATTCTAGTTCTATCATCAGCTATGGGTTCGAATCTAAGAGAAATTCTAGAGAATGTTTGTTACCCTGAAATTTTCTTGTCTTTCCTGACCGATAAGGAAAAAAAAAATTGGGTCAAAAGAAAATGCCATTTTGGAGTTTTATCAACAATTTTTTTGTGTAGGTAGGGATTTGGTATTTTCTGAATCCTTGTGTAAGGAATTAAAAAAGAAATTCTTTCAACAAATGCTTACCTCTCTCGAGATGCTTGGCATGGATTGAACGGTTTAAAACTGATTTTGATATCACTTGTCACGGGTCAAGATTTAAGCTCCAACCTGCGCGGCTTCAGGCCCGGGCATCCACTCATCCGTCATCTTAAATCAGCTTGACTATTACAGTTCACACCCTTGTGAAGTACTGTTCGCACCCTTGTGAAGTATTGTCCGCTCTGGCTCTCCATGACCTCAAGATTTTATACTATAAAAAGCGTCTCACAAGGGGAAGGCGATTTTATACTATAAAAAACGTCTCACAAGGAGAAGGCGGTATGAATCTTTATATACCCCAGTGACCCTCCTTTTATGTCCGATATAGGATTCAAGACTCCTTTTAAGTCCGTGACACGTACTTACCGTTTCCTTCTCTAACATTATTTGTATGTCCTGTTGCTGGGTTTTTGCAGGATTGAAATCTCATGCTGTGACATTATATGAAGCAGGGAAATTAGGCCATGCTAGCATTGCAGATCTTTGCAAAGACTTGAGCACATTGGAGGGAACAAAATTTGAGGGAGAGTTGCAGGAATTTGCTAATCATGCATTTAGTCTCCACTGTGTTTTGGAATGTCTACTATCAGGTGGAGTTGCCACTGATACTAGAGCTGTGGAAATTGCTGATAGAATGGGAGTATCAGCTTCAGGCTATGATGAGTCTACTTGGATAGCTGACACCTCACTGACTGATGTATCAGAACAATCTGTTACTAATGGAACTGAAGAAAACATTAACGATACCAATAATTTAGAAACGTCACAGGAAGATTCTGGTGTGTATGACTCTGTACCCTTAACCGCTAGTGATGATAGATCTACTACCTTATCAAAAGATGTTAAGCTCTTGAGTGAGGTTTCCAAGTCAGATCTGAACGTCCAGAATGACAAGAAACTGATACAGATGAAAGGGCCTGATGCAGGTAAAGAAACTTCAAGGAGGAAAAAGAAATATCGAGTGGATATCCTCCGGTTTGAAAGCTTGGCTTCTCTGCCAAAGGCAACCTTAGACCAGTTATTTCTTTGTGACTATGATATTATTGTGTCTATGGTTCCTCTTCCACAGTCATCTGTTCTTCCTAGACCAACGGGTCCTGTTCATTTTGGTCCTCCCTCTCACTCATCAATGACACCATGGATGAAATTGGTACTATATTCAACAGTGGCTATTGGGCCTTTATCTGTTGTTCTGATGAAAGGACAGTGTCTTTGCATGTTGCCTGCACCACTAGCTGGTTGTGAGAAAGCCCTTATATGGTCTTGGGATGGTTTAACAGTTAGAGGCATAGGTGGAAAGTTTGAAGGAAATTTAGTCAAGGGAAGTGTACTTCTACACTGTTTAAATTGGCTTCTCATATACTCTGCTGTTATAGTGCAGCCCTTAAGCAGATATGATATTGATGGTTCTGGAAAAGTTGTTACACTGGACATACCCTTGCCCCTTAAGAACTCTGATGGCTCAGTTGCTCATGTAGGGGAAGAGCTAGGACTATGTGCAGAGGAATGTTCGAAATTGAATGATCTATTAACTGATTTGTCTCACAAGATTGACCTATGGATGGTTGGTTACATTCGCTTATTAAAACTTTTTAAAGAAAGAGAATCAGATTATTTTGTCCCCGATGAGAAGTATGAATGGGTTCCACTGAATGTTAAATTTGGGATGCCACTTTTCAGACCTAATTATGCAATAAGATATGTGAAAGGGTTGTTGCATTACAGTTACTTCAAGCAGATTCACTTACCGAGCATCATGATTCAATGCAAAGCATGCGTAAAAGGTTGTGTGATGTTTGTGCAGAGTATCAAGCAACAGGTCCTGCGGCAAAACTTCTTTACCAAAAGGAGCATTCAAAGGAGTCAAAGCAATCAAAGCAACTAATGAACTGTGCTAGTGGAAAGTGGAATCCACTGCTAGACCCTTCTTCTCCCACTTCTGGAGCATCTAGTGAGCATGAAAGATTAAAACTTGCCAGTCGACAGTGTTGTCGGACTGAAGTTTTGAGCTTCGATGGTAGCATTCTTAGGTCTGTCAAATCATTTTATTCACTTTTTTCTTTCACTTATGGTTTTCTTCTCATTACAGTGTTCGTTGTGTGTTATTTATTCATAGTGTTGATAGTTATTTGCGGATCATATGCCCTAACTCCTGTATATGAAGCTGCCACGAGACCTGTTGAAGATTCTGCCCCAGCAACAACTACAAAAGTTGATCCTGATGAAACTGACAGCAAATAAATAATCCTTCCTGGTGTTAACCTTCTTTTTGATGGTGCTGAGTTGCATGCGTTTGATATAGCTGCTTGCCTGCAGGCTCGCCAGCCAATTTCTTTCATTGCAGAGGCAGCATTAGCCTTTACATCATTTGCAATTAAATAGGTCGTATAGAATATGAGAAGTGTGGATAGAATATTTGTCCGGATGCTGAAAAATGGAAGTTGTTGTGCCTTCAATTGGTTATGGTTCATCTGCTTCATCTTTGAAGTCATTCTATGGATGTGAGCTAGTAGCAGTTACATCAAAGGTAAATATCAAGAATTTTTCTGACAATATGATTCTTATTTGTTTCATTGGTTTCATAAATCTAGGTATTCTTTTGCATCATCAGTTACCGTAACCACTTAGCTGCCTTAGGACCAGTATTTGTGCAAAATGCATAGAAGCGAATCGAAGGTTTAAGATCTTACATGTATAATTTAAGTTATTTTGAGTCGAATTCTTTTAGGATATGAGGGTTACTTGGAGTCTATAAACATCAATGTACTCTTTCTATTGAGATAGAGAATATTATAAGAGATATTTTAGCACTGTTGCTATTGTGAACTGTATGATGCAATCCTAGGGTAAAGGAACCCTATGTGTGAAGCTTAGGGATCTTTTATTGGTAAAAATTTTCTTGTTTTCCCCTAAGGATTTAAGATTATAAGACATGTACAAATCCTAGCCTTTTGCTGACCTACATCAACAAGTGAGATATAGTGCAGATTATCATTACTGGCATAATGCAGATGGTTAGTATGTCTTGGGAAAGAAAATGGGAATACTTGTTTGGGATTAGTAGAAATGTTGATTATTGGTTGCAAGAAAAAGGTTGGAAGTCAATTTTGCACATGATACATAGTAGGAAAAGGAGACATTTTTGATTTGGCAAAATGTAAACAGTTATAGCTTTCTGCATAAATTGCATAGAATTGTTATTGGAAAATCTTATTCTAATTCTTGTACGTAGAAGAGAAACCCTGCTGCAACGTATGGAGGGATAAATTTCATCCAATGTATTTGGAGAAAATGGATATGCTTTTTTATCCTAATTGCTCTCTCTCTCTCTTTGGTTATGTCATTGATATGAAATTATGAACATTTCTATCATGTTACTTCATTAGCGGCTTCATATTTATCATTTTATTTTTTTAGACAATTTTACTGTCCTACAATTTTTATGCAATTTTAATCACCTATTATGAAAATAAAATATTTCATTTAAACTAAAGAATATTTCATCAAGAATTTTAATTATATTTTTAATTTTTGTTATATGAAAAAATATTTTATTTCAAATTCCAAATAAAGATAATAAAAATAAAAATATTTAATTTTTTTCTAAAAATACCAGTGCTGCCATTTATTTTTTCATTTAAAAAATAATCTTATTTGCCCCCCAAAAATTTTAATAAAGAATTACTTAAAAATGCCATTTATATAACAATTGACATTGTTGATATTTAAAAAAAAAAATTGAATTATTTTATTTTTATTTAATTATTCTTATTATCTTTATTTATTATTAAATTAGTGACAATTTTATTTTTTTTATTTGTGAAAATATTTTTTACTAAAAAATTGAAGGAAATAAGATTATTTTTAAATAAAAATAAATGGAATTGCAGATATTTTTAGAAAAAATAATTATTTTTATTTTTATTTTTCTTATTTAAAATGGAAATAAAATATTTTATTTTTCATATATAATAAAAATTAAAAAATATTTAAAACTTTTATAAAATATTCTTTAATTTAGATGAAATATTTTATTTCAATTAACAAATTACATAAAAATATAATAAATAATAAATTCTATAAATGAATCAAATGATAAATATGAAGCTTTCAATCTAATAAAGGAACAAATTTAAATTTATTTTATTGCGCTTCATTTCCTTCACAACCATCAACGAAACTACTATCTAAATCTGTTTTTCTTTCTTATTAGATATCGGGAAATAAAACTAAAAGGTGGGCCCATCGGCCTTGGGTATCCCAATCCATAGGCCCATCCCATACTGATGCCGTAGCCGACAATGATTAAACAGATTTTTTCTCTTTTTTAAATCAAAGATAGATCCAATCGATACATTCAATGAACGATATTTTAAGAAAGCTTGCAAAAAAAGAAAATGAAAATACGTGTTAACGGTCACATTAAAGTTCTCTCCAAAGCCTGGCGCTTCGTTCACGTGGCAAACGAGATCGTTCACGTGGCAAACAAGAAGGGTGGCATTCCCGCTTCCATGCCGCTAAAATCACTAATTACTAATCTCTCGCAAAGATATTATTTTTGCTAACAGAGAAATAAAGAAAGTCTCACTCACTCTCTTCAAAGTACAAACTATTTCCTTTTCTTTCCTTTTTCTTTCTATTGGTTTTGCTTTGCTTTGCTCTGCTCTTTCTCTGTTTTTGATTTGTGGGTGTTCGATTTTCTTTTCTTCCTTTTGGGTGAACTTTCTCCTTTATTTTATTCGATGCTTGATCTTTTTGTTACCAAAAGGAAAACAAAAGAATAGAATATAGGTAAAGATGCTACACTCATCAGTTTTATCCAAATCAATTTGTACCAAGTTTCCTTTGTTCGCTTCCGCAAATGCAAACCCTTCTTCCATTTCTTCTCTTCTTCAAATTGGGTATGCCCTTTTTTTTTATCTTTTTTTTTAATATATGCGTTGGTGTCTTCTGATATATATATATATATATGTATACATATATATATATCTTAATTAGTATGCATGGTTATTATTTCTCAAAATATGGAGCCAAACGGAAAATCCGCCTTTTTTGAAAAGATGGATTGAGTTTTGTAGACAGTTAAATTCTTGTAAGATCATAGATGAAAAGCGTTGATCGGTCAGGTCTCAATCGGGGGAAATTCATATTATGTTGTGGTAATTATTGAGTAAGGGTACTACCCGGTAAAAATGGTGTTGTTGAAATAGGTAGTCTTATTCATGCCTTTTGTAGCTTTGAGTTTTGGAAATTTATTGACCTCCGATAGTTACACTTCAGATTGAAGTGGAGTGGAAAAGCATCGAGTATTAGCTGCGGGCAACGACTTTCAAGTAAGGCATGTCTATAGATGCTTATAACGATGTGATGATTTATTTAATTATCGACTTTCCAGTCACTTTTGATTTAAAAAGACAAAAGATATGACTGACTTTTTGGGCATATTGCAAGGCAAGGAGCCGTGTCAAGCATAGGATAGCTAATGTCTACGGGCGTCAGGCACGAGAACGTTTACTTGAGGTATTTTAATCACCTAAAGTTGTTTGTGTGCATGACTTTTCCTTACTCATTTTGTATCTCCTGATCATGAATAAGAAGTAAACTTTTATGCATGGTGCACGGTCTGTGTCCAAATTTCATCTTGATATTAAATTGCAAAATCTTTTCTTGCTCTATGCAACTGTCTTTCTTAATAATCTATCTTTTGTTATGCTCACTTCTTTTGCACATATGATACTAGTTATGACTAAGATGTTGTATGTATGTCCTAATAATATTTGATTGATGCACACTATTATGTTCATTCTTTGTAATTTCAGGAAGAAGCCCCTGAAATGGAAGAAACCACCCCTTCATTTAAAATTTTCCCGGGTCAGGCGTTTCCATTAGGTGTATCGGAAGTTGATAATGGTATAAATTTTGCTATTTTTTCACAGCATGCAACTGCAGTTACGCTTTGCTTATCACTTCCCCAAAGGTGACAATGCATTCTTTGTGTACATAATTTTTCACATATTCTTTGTGTACTTAATTCTGTGTTCCTTTATATTTGTAGCATTTGTCAAACTAGAGACAGAAAGTTTTAGATTATTGTTAATATTGTTGGTGAGGAGTAATTCATTTTTGGCATAATATATATTAGGGGAGAGCTTGACCAGCTGGCTGGTGAAATGATTGAATTTTCCTTGGACCCTCATGTCAACAAAACGGGAGACATTTGGCACATATGCATTGAGGTAGGATGCTTGAAACAATTTCTTGGTTCCTGAAATAGTGTCAAGTTCTCTTATTTCATTGTCTTCTATATTGTACACCCAGCAGCGGAAGCAACTGCTATATTTTTCTTGCCATTTTGTAGTATGGTTTTCTGTTTGCACGATTAAAATGACTCTGTAAATGTAGGATTTTCCCCGGAGCAATGTCCTCTATGGTTATCGCATGGATGGTCCTAAAGATTGGGATAAAGGTCATCGATTTGACAGCAACAATGTGCTTATAGATCCTTATGCAAAGCTAGTAGAAGGTCGCAGAAATTTTGGAGATTCAAATCATAAATTATCAAAATTTCTTGGAACTTATGATTTTGATAGCTTGCCTTTTGACTGGGGAGACAACTACACTCTCCCAAACCTACCTGAGGTATGGGCAAAATAGTTTGGTTTTATGCCAAATGCCAATTGCCCTATTGGGTTGATCAATCACTCCTTTATTCTTTCTTTCTAACATTTTGCAACTTTTGTTTGCTGCATATCTGAATTAAATTTATCTCTTTATTTGGATACATGCATCCCCATGCATTTGTGGAGATCAAGTAATCCTCAAATCCTACGGCTTTGTTTACAATCTAAGTCATTGAGTTTGTGTTTCATCTCTTCAGTGAAAATTTCTGCAGCTCAACGTCTTTGACACTTGCCATTGTGTTTGCAGAGAGATCTTGTTATATATGAAATGAATGTTCGTGCATTTACAGCTGATGAATCTAGTTGCTTGGATTCAAATCTTCGTGGCAGCTATGCTGGTCTGATTGAGAAGGTAATGATATGTTGCATTATACTCAATCACTCTAAGAAATTGCCTCTTGAATAATGTATTTACTACACTTAAGAGTGCTTTTAGTTTGAATTTTGTCATATCTAGGGCATGCATATGAATGCAACTTGATCTTAACCTATTGTGAGTTATAACCAACATTTGAGTACTATTGACATAGATACTTAACATTAACACAATCATAGGTTTTGGTATAAGACATGAACAATAGGGTTAGTGCATCCTGAAAGGATGAATTTTCAATGCCTGTGACATCTGATGCTTTTCCTCAAAAGTGCAGTTTTTTCATGCAAAGAAATTGAGTTTTCCCAGCCATCTTAGCAAAGATAACTATGCATAAAGAGGCATGGGAATAGTTGATGAGAATGAAGCATGGTATTATGTTGTTATCTTTTTAGAACTGGCATATGCTATACATTCGTCCACATGACCATCAATATACTAAAGAAATTTTGTTAAGTCACTTCTTTTGTTCTTTGTAGAAGACTTAGTCCAGTGTCTATTGGAAGCATTAATAATGTATTTGGGTCTGTAGAGAAAGTGACTATTGGACTCTTTTCACGTATTACATTTGTCTGACCATCTCTTTGTTAAAACAATTTTTTTTTTAAGATCCCACACCTTCAAGAACTTGGAATCAATGCAGTGGAGTTGCTTCCTGTCTTTGAGTTTGATGAGTTTGAATTTCAAAGGCGCCCTAATCCCAGAGATCACATGGTAACTAGAATCTTCACCCTATCTGCTTTATCGTTTAAATGTTTAATGTATCACATAAACAAACACAGTTATTTTTTTCTTTTAAAGGAATAATATTGACATTTTTTTGTTTGTCTCGGAACATATGAATGTTACTATCTTCACTGCTCTTTTTACCGTTGCACATTTTGGTTAGTCATTTATAAATCAGTATATATTTTGCACTGAACATGGAAAATTTAGGTACTATTCATAGTTTGAAGTGGTTGAAACCGCTTAGTAGATTGTGTTCATAGGATCCCAACTGCTCAATGAAATGCCTTGCCCTTTACTAACATATTATAACAGTTTGTTCATAGAACTTCCAGAATAATGATACGACTTGGATATCGCAGAAATGATGTTATTGGGAAGTACTTGGTTTGTGATTAAACCAAATATCTGGATTAATTTTCTTGGACCAATTTCTCTTAGAGTGCTCTTGTATCACATCTATTCTGTTACAATAGCCCTATTAAGAAATAACTTAAAAGTTTTAGTTATACATATAATATGTTAGTTGAGCAGTGGGTGATTCTGCTGTTCGGCTATAGTGCTTTGTGCTTTAATTTGTAGTGAAAAATTTAAGAATATTAAAACACCTGTTTGTTATTTTTCTGAGATCAATACATGGGGTTACTCAACGATAAATTTCTTTGCTCCAATGAGTCGTTATGCTAGTGGTGGTGGAGGAGCTGTTAGTGCTTCATGGGAGTTCAAAGAAATGGTTAAAGCCTTGCATGGCTCTGGAATTGAGGTAAGTGTCTCTTGTACGAATGGTTGGTAGAATACATAATTTATAGTTGTAATTTCTTCTTGTTGCTTCATTGGAAGTATGAAATATGCATATTGTAGTGTTTGGTAAGCTTTTATTTTTGTACAGGTGATTTTGGATGTTGTCTATAATCACACCAATGAAGCTGATGATAAGCATCCTTATACCACTTCATTTCGTGGCATAGATAACAAGGTGAAATTTTTTTCCCCAATGATGATAATAGTTGTTTTGGGTTTAGAAATGATGTTCCTCATTGATGCGATTTATTTTCCTCATAGATGTTCTTGTTGTATTCTACTAATTCATTTGCAGGTTTATTACATGGTGGACTTAAACAACGAAGGCCAGCTGCTAAACTTCACTGGCTGTGGTAATTCAAGTTCTCTACTTGGCTTTTTTTTTCCATCTTTCTGAGGATTTATTCAATTATTCCTTGCTAGATGTACAGCAGTTAACTCTCCCAAATTTCTTCCCTAACAAATCTATTCCCTTGCAGATGTGTAAAAATAATTCATTGCTAGTCTCTTGTTAGCCATATTAGGACTGCTTTTGTGATTATTTTGTTTGATATCTTGCTTCCCAGAACCTTATATCATCTCCTTTAAGGTCTTACGTATCTACTCACGTGATTTCCACCTGTCTTGATGATTATAAAGATATCATCCCTTCTTTCATCACTGGAATTAAGAGAGAAACTAAAAATTGAATCTTTATAGATATGTGAAACAGCTGGGAGGTTACTGAGTGGGAAGTAGCAGAGTTAAGACAGTGGTTTGGCAATACGAGCCCTTACTTCTGATATAGAGATTGAGTTACTATTATAATTTGGTCTGGTTAAGAATATAGCATCAGTTTTTTCAACTTTCAACATCATATGTTTCTGTTTCTGATCTATTGTCTTGATGCTGTTGAAGTCAAGATCTTGTTTCTTGCATAAATATTGTGCTGAATGTGACTGAGGGTATGTCTTTTGAATTAAAGTTTTTCAGCATCTATTGTTTCTAAACACTTGAGTTCATACCTGTGAACTCAAAAGACATTCATATTCTCTTTCTGGTTAAGACATTCATATTGCGTAAGTATCGGGGTTTGACTTAGGCTTGAGTTATGAATCTATCTTCTTTTTCTGGTTTTTTAAATTCTTGAGTCAAGGTGTGAAGTTTATAAATTCGTCTAATATAAGTATTTTTGAGAGTGTGAAACAGGTTGGGTTTTGAATCTATCTTATCTGTGACAAATATTCATAATTTCAACTGTCATACATAAAGTTCTTTCATATGCAATATTTGTTGTTCTTCAGGGAATACATTGAACTGCAACCATCCTGTTGTCATGGAGCTCATACTTGACAGCTTAAGACACTGGTATGGATATAAATCCCATAGAAACTCATGGCTTTTGCTGCTAACAGTATGGATTTTTCTTTTATCTCTGATAGGAATTTGAAACAAATTTTGTTTTAATATCCTTTTCTGTAATTGTTTGGTAAATTGTAAATCCTGTTTTGTGATTGTTCAATGCACAAATAATTTGAGATGTAGTGCTGCTCTGTTTTTGCTTTTAATGGGGTTAGTAGCTCAAGAAAGTTTAAACAGGCTTCACATACAAACTTTGTTACTGAAATGTCTTCCCCAGTTGGATAAAGTTCAACTCAAGAAGGCAAAACATAATAAACTCAGTTGAATTATGAAACATTGTTGATTACTTGGATAATCTGGATTTAAGTCAGCCAACATTCTTAATTACACATGGAGAATAATGTTCCACATATCATTTATGTTACTTTATGTGTGTTTATTATCTTATAACAATAAAGTTGAAGTTGATATTCTTCTTACTGATATGCTATTTTCAATGAGTCCCTTAATCCTTACTGAAAATGGCTATTTTCCAAATATTGGAAATTTTTGGTGAAACCATTAATTTTTTATTGATTGACATGTTTCTTATTCTTTGCTGTTACCAAATATAGGGTTGTTGAATATCACATAGATGGATTTCGATTTGACCTTGCTGGTGTACTTTGTCGAGGCACAGATGGTTCTCCACTTAATGCTCCTCCACTTATTAGGGTATGTGATTTGAATGTTTTTGGACTACAGCTTGTCTAAATGTAGCATATCCTCCTTGTTTTAAGTACGGAGATTTAATGTCCCTTTTGACATAACATGTTAGAATAAATTGACAATACATACCATTACAGTTTAACAGCCAGAACTACTGAGGGTTCATTAGGTATATTCTCCAATTCTTAATGATTATAACGAAAGCATTACTGGTGCTAATGTGCTGAAGTTTCTTCCAAAAGAGAGGAAAAAGCATTCAAATTTTTGTGAAGTGCAATGCTTGGCTTCATTTCTTTTGAGATGTTAATTTGAATTATTTTGTAAACTGAGACTCAAAAATAAATGTTTCGTTGGTTGTATGGTTGGCATATGTTCAAAAGCAATGTTGCTTCACTTTAGCTCTCAATTTGTTTGGTTCTTAAGAATTTTGACATCAACCTTTTTTGTGGGGAGTACATTGAAAACTCCGAAGTTGCACTTTGTTGTTGTGACTTATTGCCTCATTCTTTCATTAAACCAGGCTATTGCCAAAGATGCTATCTTATCAAGGTGCAAAATTATTGCTGAACCTTGGGATTGTGGAGGACTTTATATTGTTGGTAGTTTTCCTAATTGGGACAGGTAATTTTTTTACAATATATTTGTATTTAAATCTGCTTATGTAAAGAACTGGAATATTAGAGCATTTAAAGGCCAACCGTTAGTTGAGAACACTTCTTCACAATTTCATTTCCAAATTATACATTTACCTTGCTGTTCTTGCTGTCACTGTTACCTAAAAAACATGTGACACTTACATCCCTACTGAGCAGTAAATCTAGTTATGGAAACCTCAAGTGACGTTTCTGTTAGTTTTGGAACCTTAAGAAAGATAAATGCAATTTGCTTTGTGGCATTTTCCCCACTTGTTATCTTTTCTAATTTACAAAATTTTCTTGATTACCTATATTGTCAAAAGATTAATGTGATTGGCCTACAGTTCTTGGTTTTACATGTCTGGAACAACACTAAATATCTCCTAGGTGGATGGTTGCGCGATTAATCAGATGTCTTTACCTTTGGCTTTCTACTTCAAACAAATTCTTTCTGGAAACTTTCCCTTCTAAGAACCCAGGGCAGCTTTCCTCTATCACTTTCAAAATTTCCATTGTGCAGGTGGGCTGAGTGGAATGGAAAGTACCGCGATGATCTGAGAAGATTTATAAAGGTAACACCATATGGAACAAATATTTAATCACATGAATCTACAAGTAGTTCACATTGCTTTAGAGGTAGCTTCAGGTTGAACATGGAATCAATGAAAACTAAGAGAATATAGACTCATAGATTGCGATTGAAAGGTCTCTTCCACTGTCACCTAAAATTTGACTGGTTGGCTTTGCATAAAAGTATTTTAGACATATTAAGTGTATTTGATGATATGGCAAGACCATGTGATCCAAGGCACACTAAATAGGATGAGCCTAATCTTGAGATGCAAGGTGCAAATCAATTCCTTGAATGTGTGAACTGTGAAACAACGCGCTAACTAATAAAAATACATATCATTCTAATAAACTCTAAAACATTAACTCTGTTTCATTGCCTAGTTTGCAGTAAATATAAAACATCACTAAATGTTGTTATAACTCTAGCTGTAGGTTCATTTCTATTCCTTCCATCTCCAACAAGAAGCTATATAGACCATTTTTAACCTTTTTTTTTCCTTGAAAGGAAGACTTGTTTTCTCCTTTTTTGTCAGTTAAATGTAAAAATATAAACCAGAACTTGAGTTATGCCTTTTTGCTTCATTTGCCTTTAAAGTGTACATGAACATGTGTATCTCACCTGGAGAGGTGTGAAGCACTTGCTAGATTGTCTTGCAGCTTACCACTTAGGCTTGCTCCTTGACTACACTGAACGAGATATTGCTTGATGCTTCTATGTAGTTTTATTTAATATCAAATTTATCAACTGCTTGAGTTTGTATGCAGTTTTTAAGCTTAATACTTTATTAAGCTATGGTAGGATGTGTGTTAAATTCAAATTTTTTGTAGTTTACACCACCATGTTCTTTAATCCCCTCTTGCATGGTGCTTGAATTATCTTCTCAACATCACCTTGTTGGATCTGAATTATCCTTTTCTATTTTGAATATCATGATCTCAATTTGGAATCTAATTATGAACTTTCCTTAATATAGGGAGATCCTGGTATGAAAGGAGCATTTGCAACTCGCATTGCTGGATCTGCTGACCTCTACAAAGTAAGTGTCAATTGTGTGATGAAATTGATGATTGAAAATTAGCAGGATAAGTGTTAAATATCCGATTGTCTAACATGTGTTTTTGATTCTCTGATTCTTGTGTAGAAATTAATAATTACAAAGCTGGATCAATAGATGAAACTTTAGAAATGCTAAGCAGTAACCATAGCCACAATTTTTTTCAGCCTAAATTTTCAGTTGTTGATTGAAGCTGATGTTGTACACTTTGGCCTTGGCCAGTATCTTTACAATGAATTAATGTGGGACAAACAGAAGTTGCTTAAAGAATTTAATTATTCAAGATGTTATTAAAATTCCTTTTTGTTATAATTTATGAGCTCTATCGTACTTGATACTATTATTAGGGATTTTATAGTCATATTTGGTATGTTGTATTTACATTGATTTTTAAGATGTTGTATTTTTTGGTACTCTAGATGTAAATGTTACTTGATAGACTCATTTAACTTCATCAGTTTACTTTCACTTTTTTCCACTTTTCATGGTTGTAAATCGAACTTTTGGCTTATTCTATAGATAAACAAACGTAAGCCATACCATAGTGTTAATTTTGTCATTGCACATGATGGCTTCGCTCTCCATGATCTTGTTTCTTACAATTTTAAGGTATGTCAATCTTCGAGTATCCATTTTAAGTTTAAGTGGCTCCAAGGGGCATGCAGTATTTCCAGTTATTGTTTGTTTTGACAGCACAATGAAGCCAATGGAGAAGGTGGAAATGATGGAAGCAATGACAATTTTAGCTGGAATTGTGGGTTTGAAGGTATGTAGAAAAAGCCTTTTTTTTTTTTTTTTCGTTTATGCATGCATAAATGATAGCTATGGATTATCTTAGAGGCGTCAAGCTTATCTTGAGTGTCACTAGTGTTATGCCCTTAATTGTGAGCGCCTTGCTCGTTCTCATCTTTATTGATATTTTTGGACTAAAGTACTTTTAAGAGTTTGCTTCTTGTCATATGGTTTTAGTATTTAATTCATCTATCCACTGCTTTATGAGATTTGAACATCTTCTTCTTAGATGTCTTCATGATTTTATTAATATTAAATTGTGTCCTCATCTTTGGTTTCATTTTTAATTTTTCATCATTCATGGAATTAATTCCTAGAAGTAACAGCCTGGTTTTATGAACTTTTAAGATTTAGACAAATTAGATATGTAATCATCTGATCCCATTATTTCCCTGGAGAATGTCTTAATTTGTTAACAATCTGTGTGAACAAGATTTTCTTCATCTTCCTTCATTTTCAATTTTCTTGTTGCTTGAGTCTCCAGTTAAGCAAATATGTTCAATGATGTATCATTTTATTAAAATTTGTTCCATTTCTAAACTCCTCTTTTTCTGTATCTATTGGACAGGTGAAACTGACGATGCAGATATTAAAGCCTTGCGCTTCCAGCAAATGAAAAACTTTCATTTGGCATTGATGATATCACAGGTAAAGACATTAAAAAGCCATTTTATGCATTATATGCCTGATAGAATCCCTTTTTGAAGACTTGTTAAGAGCCCAATGAGCTTCACATTTTTTCAGTTTTCTGTGGAGGAGGGTTAAACTCTTCTAAACTAATCGTATTACAGATTTCCATAAGGCTGACAGTCAATAAGAGGCCTGGAGGGGTCCCTGACCTGTCCCCTTCAACTCCCCGACTCTCCGTGTAGTCACTTTCTATTTTATTTAGGGCTATAGGCTCTGTTGGTTTTTGCTGTTAGATTTCAATCATTTGCTTTATACTGCCATTGAACTTTTGAAAAGTGTTATAATGTTTGAGTGCATCATAATTAGGGAACTCCAATGATGCTAATGGGAGATGAATACGGGCACACACGATATGGGAATAACAATAGTTATGGACATGATACTGCTATTAATAATTTCCAGTGGCAACAGGTAATATTATATCAGTTTTCTTTTTTCTGACAACTTTAGTCAATATATTACTTGCTGGATGATATTCTTTATGTTAAAACAGTTGGATGCAAGGAAGAGTGATCACTTTAGGTTTTTTTCAGAGGTGATAAACTATCGGCGAATGCATCAAGTATTTCGTCATGAAAATTTTCTCAGCAAAGTACATGTCTTTACACCTGTCCTGGTGAAACTACATTGTCCTTTCACATTGTCTGGAGCTCAATAGGTGGTTTATCTGTGCAGGGTGATGTGACATGGCATGAGGATAACTGGGAAAATCCTGACAGCAAATTCCTTGCATTTACGTAAGAAACTACATGCCTCTTCATAGGTTGTTGGTATTCCTTGCATTTTGCTTGCTCCATTGTGCCTGTTTTGTTTTTATGTGTGTGTGCATGATTCATTCATTTTAGCTTTTAAACATCATAGCATTGCATTTCCCATGCGGTAGTTCTAAATTAGTTTGTTTTGCAGGCTTCATGATAATAGTGGTGGAGATATCTATCTGGCATTCAACGCTCATGACTTCTTTGTTAAAGTTTCTGTACCTCCACCACCTCCGAAGAGGCGTTGGTTCCGTGTGGTCAGTTTTATGTTTAGTGTTTTTTCGACCCCTGTTTGCCGTACAACTGCTGATGTTTCTGCTTTTTCTATTCACCTCGGCACTCTTTAGATATATCTATGGATTCACAGATTCACTTTCATTGGAAATAAAGATTCTATTAGAATTTATCATCCCAGCAGTGGGTTGATGAGGATTAACTGCAATTTTATACTATAAAGCTACAGAGCTGCTTGGATTGACGGTTTGATTGTCGTAATTGTTGATTTTACATCTGTCTTTTGTTATTCATAGTCGATAACTTAAATCTGAATCTGAGATTGCAGGTGGACACCAATCTTCCATCTCCTGATGATTTTGTCTGTGAAGGAGTCCCTGGAATTGGGAGGACCTACAATGTGGCTCCATACTCTTCCATTCTTCTTGACGCTAAACAATAAGCTGAACCCAGATGGATCTTAGTTGAATCAGAGCATGATGCCAAGAAAAAGGACGATCAGATTTGTTGTATCCAAAGTTTGTTTATCTTCTTACAGTTTTCAGGAAATGTGAAACAACTTTAAAAAAAAATAATTAAGCAATGCTAAAGAAATAAACTTAACTTTATAATTACCTAAACATGGAATACACGCACGTAGCATGTGATGTGAGCTAAATACTCAAAGTGCAAAGGGTCAATTGGTTATGTCCCCATCTTTAAGTTGAAGATGGTCTTAGAGTTCAAATTTTAGCATTCGTAATTTTTTTTTTAAATTTAAAATTTAATTCAGTTGGATCAAGTAATTATTTTCAGCGACATGCAATGTGTTTGAAGTAAACAGAAAAATACTCAAAGTGGTTTTATGACTAAAGGCAAACCAAAAGCTGTGGAAAGTTGAAGGTATAGGATTTCATGGAAACACATGACGTAGAACCTTGAAATTATGGATGAAATTTTCTCGTCTTAATCTTTATTACCTTTTAAAGATTTGAACTCGAATAAGTGGCTGAGAAATCTGCGGATTCTGCATCGCCATGATTGATGCTAATTACTAGTCTTATTTATCAGTTAATCTTCACTTGGCTGGACCGCTGCCAAAGCCAAACTCCCTCTCTTCGGCAACTAACTACAGAAGTGCGTTTTTTTCTTTGCTTTTAAATTGACAAACTATCATTGATTTACCCAAAAATACCAGCATTTTTTAGCATCCCATTAATAGAACTCAATTATTGGAAAGAATCCTCGTCATGTGCTAAAGTAATAAAGCTATAAATCTCCATCTTTAAGAATGTTGTTGTTGTTGTTGTAGTTTAAAGTACCATAATCAATTGCAAAGTATTGCTTGATTGAATAAAAAAAATATTAGTATTTGAATTTCTTGACAGCAAAATGTAATAAAGTTTGATTAAAAAATAAAGTCAATAAGATAATATATATATATATCATTTAAGGAGTATTAAAAATAATTAAAAATAAAATACATGATAATATTTTAATTTATTTGTGAAATTAAAAAATTTATTGATAATATATAAAAACCAACATTTCAAATTATAAAGAGCTGGGATTTTAATTAAAACGTGTAGAAGAGACCAAAAATGGGCTGGTGGTGGGGTTAAGGAAGGAGAGGTTCCAGAGTGATTGTCTGTCATGTGTTGGCGGGGATCTTTTGAGCAATGACAGATAGATGGAGACCCACGTTTGTCTGAAACCACTATTCAGTTGCTGATTATGATTATGCCTCCTTCTCACCGATTTCACCCTTTTGGACTTATTTCACGTACATTTATGTTGATCGTATCGTATCGATTATCATCTCACCCCCCGAATTAAATTTTTATCAATTATCAGCTATTTTATAAAAATTAAAAAATAAAAAAAAATTATACATGTTGAAATTTAAAATTTTTGAATAAATAAATAATTCAATCAATATAAAACGTACTATATTAAAATTAAAATCTTTGATAAAATTATATCAATTAAATCAATTAAATTTTATTTTAATTATATATGAGTTTAATTTAAATTTATGTTGAATTTGTTTAGTTATAAGTTGATTTATTTGTTTAATTTAATGATTTATAATTTTATAAAATAATTTTAAATTGAGGATAATTCAGTATTGAAACCAATGAATTTATCAATTGAACTTTACATTTACTTGCTCTTACTTTGTCCCATTTCATTAGTTTAATTAGGAAGAAAGATTTGGCAATTTAATTTAGACCCAAATGGAAATGGCATTAATTTAAGTTAGGATTGAAATATAACAAAGTGAGCAAATGAAACCAAATAAAAGAAGAATTAATGTTGGTGTAACCTTCTTAACTACATTTTATCTTCATTTTCTGTCTGCAACTTTGCTCTTAATATTCGAGTTATCGATGTTGCTAACAACGCATTTTCACCATTAGTTTTTTTTTTTTTTGACTAATTTCACACTTTTTATGGGGAAAAAAATTACTCACTTTATCAATTAAATTAATCTATGTGAGTATTTATTTTTAAATTTCAAATTATTTAAAAATTACTGAAGTAAAAAGTATCTAGTTGGATGTAATAATAATTAATATATAAAAAAAGAGATATATATAATTATAATTGCTTAATGCCCGGCACGACAAAGTGTACATTGGGTCGACCACTGGGTGAGTTGTCTTCAAAAAGCAAGCTCAATGTTTTTAATTTCTAAACGTTCTTTATGTTTTTCTTTGTCCTCTCTATTACGTTTGCATTGACTTAATCAGTCAGTAGGTTTCAAATATTTAACCCTTAACGATGACTAAATCACATCTTATGTAATATTTATAATCATATAAAATTCATTTACAAATGATTTAGCATTTCAACGATTTCTTAGATTTCGAATTCATATATTTTAAATAAAATTATTAAAAGAGTAATTGTCAAGTTAAATTTTGTTATATTTTATGCATAAAAATAAATGAAAAAATAAATATAGTTTCATTTTTATATAAACCAATGTTATTAGTATCGTACATATAAGTATATGTGCCATTTTCATTTTTTTTTAACTTGTATTGATTTGTATAGATTCATATTGATCAATTTTTATTCGCACTAATAAATTTTTTTTTATTTTTCTTTAATTCTTTCACTTATTTATTTTTTAATTAATTTCTAATATATATTTTTTTATGATCGTTTTTATATTTTTCATAATTTCATTCAAAAATAATATATGTTCATTAAATTAGGTTACTAAATAGCAACTTGCTATATTTTTTTTAAATATTTTATATTTATATTATTTTTTTGAGATTTAAAAATTTTGGATATTAAATTTTTATCATTTTTAAATTTTATATTTACATATAAACATATAGACACGTGTAATTGATATCTATTTGTATGTGTATATATTTTATATACAAAATATTAAATAGAATCAATAAACCCAAAACAATACACCAAAATACACATACAAATACAAAAATAAAAAATAATACGTCCACCTATATGATACATATTACTTTGATATCAACCCCAAAATTATGGTTCAAACTAACCCTCAAACTTCACCAACCCATTTCCTTAATGAAATTTAATCCTATGTAGTTTTTTAATCAATTTGTGCTTTCTTCTATAATTGGTCCAATCGTATTTGAGTTTTGTGATCTCCGAATTAGAAAAATAAAGAATAAAATTTTTATTTTATTAGAACAAAAGAAGAATCCAAAGTTTTTTTTTTTTTTTTTAAGAATTGGCGCATTTCAATTTACAAACTTAGGAAGAGACAGCATTAATAAAATAATAATTTAGCAAGAAATCATTTTTTTTAAGCTATGATTTGTTTTTTTCCACATTTGAAAATGATTGTCTTAGTCCCCGTGAATAAAAAATTGCACCAACAACGTGCCAATCATAACGGTAAGCAGAATTTTTGCTCATCATCAAATTATTAATTTTATTTTTTTTTCTGAAATCAAGAAAATTTAAGGAAAAGTTTTCACCAACGATCACTGGCCGTTCATCTAGAATGCGTAAAACCAACGCGTTTTGGAGTTGTCAAAAGGATAAGTTGGACGGTTGAGATTCTCTATTGGGATCCCCGTGGGACACGTGTAAAGTAATGATGCGTTTGGTTTTTACCTTGTAAATTACAAACAAGTCTCTGCTCCTGGAGATTGATTTCACTTGTTTCCTTATACTTTTTATAAATTTGGAAATGCCCCCTATAATTTTTTGGCATTGACTTGATTAATAATAATAATCCTTTTTTTTACAATGTCAAATAAGAACTTATTGTTATGGCTTTTGAGACAAAATTTTGCCAATATTTTATTTCAAATAAAAATGTGAGACTGTATGCATGTAATTAATGTACAATTAATTAAGTAACATAACTTTTTCATTAAATTTTAAGATAATATTTAAGTTTCAAAAACATTTTGCCATGTTATTTTTCTTCTTCAACTATTAAGATTATATTTCTTACCTTTTAGCACAAACAAATGAAGAGATATAATTCCTTTATTTGCATTTGCTTATAATTTTGACTAAAATTGTGTTTGATTAACCAATAAAAATTAAAATTTTCAATAGTTTGTTTTTTTTTAATGAATTTAATAAATTATTTTAAAAAATCACTTAATAAAAAATTTTCAATAAAAATATTGAATTCTAAGTACCTTTTAGCTACTTGATGTATTCGTCAATTTTGATTAAGAAAATTTTTAATTCCATTAAATTTATAATTTTTAATTATTTATTAGTTTCTTTTTAACTTTCACCAATTTAAAAAAAATTATAGAATCATATTTTTATTTAATAAAAAAATCTACTAAACATTTTATTTTTAGTAACATATCAAATAATTTTATATTATAAATTCATTACTTAATTTTTAAAAATTAAAAATTCAATAATTAAATTTTTAATATTGAATTTGTTGAGTTTATAAAACAACACCTAAATCATTGCAAACAAGTTAAATTCCAAAGCTAATACATTATAATTTCAGAAAAATAAAAATTTATGGATACAATTCGACAAAACTAATCTAGTCAAAACACTTTTGCTTGGTTTAGAAGTCCAAAATAAAAAAGAATAGATATAGACTATTCAAATAAGAAAAAGTGGTCGAATACCTAACAATGAATTATGGAGTAATGTGGACTAAATTGATGTTAAGCATAAACTATTGGGCCATAACAAAAAACTCAGAAAAATCCAAACTTTAGAAGGCATGCTGGCATGGAAGGAAGGGGGGAAAAAAAAGTCTGTCAATACCCCCCAAGGCCTTAAACCTTCTATATATATCTCCCTTCCTCTCTCATCTCCCTTTACGCTACTGAACACTTCTGCTTTCAGTCTCTCCGATTTCTCTCTCGCTTTCTCTCTTTTAAAATTTTACAATGGCCAAATCCTTCGCTTGCTTTGTTCTCTTAGCTCTTATAGCCAGCTGCGCTCTCGGCCAAGCTCCCAGCTCTGCCCCAACC